ACATTATTTTTTCATGTTATTATTTCAGATCCCAGACGTTTACATTTGCTCTCAATGTCGCCGGTTTCGCCAACAGCAATCTCATCAACCTCAATCTGTTTCTTTTGGCAGAACTGAGGGCAAAATCTGTCCCGCTTGGTCACACCGCTCACGTTCTGAAGTTGAAATGGATATTCGAAAGCCTAACGTGGCATTGAATCTGAAACCAACTGGCTCGCTTAATATGATGGCAGAAGTAGCTAATGTGACGGCCGCAGCCATGCTTAAGGAGGACTCAACAGAAGAAACAGACAATTTTGAGGACATTGATACAGACGTAATCGGACATGGTCCTCGAATGCTCGACCAGTCTTCATTTGGCGTGAGGTTGAGAGCGAAGCATTGCCCCTCACCGTCACCCATGATTGATATTGGCAGAAGTGGAGCTGGTTTGTTAATTAACCCATCATCGTCATATGAGACGTCTAATTTTGCCATTGTGGACTTTAATCGTCCAGATCTTGGCCAGCTATCGTCAGAAAATATTCAGGCTACGGTCAAAATGGAACCAACGGCAATAGAGACAGATCAATGGGCTGACTATCACTCATCTCCTGAGGTTTCAGATACTGGTCAATCTGGGAGGTCTACGCACGAGGAGCAGAGTTCACAAGGTACATACTCGAATTTATCTCCTCTAGGCTATATACTTTATTTAATCTAGTGCTTTAAGGAGTTGATTTAATACAATGCATCCAGGCTTCAGCATTGTCTTGTTTCATTATTGCTTGTCTCTGTTTTAGCATGAAATCTTAGGTAGATATAACTCTTGGCTTTTTCGTTTTGATTGTCAAAATTACTTTTTGTTCAGCGATTTCGCTAATTAAGACCAAATCGGCCTTAATATTTCTATTTCGTAATCCTGATCTCCTGATTCTTAAGTATTTCGTAAATGTGGATCTAAATACCCCTGTAAACGAGGACGGGAATTGAAGGGCCATAGACAGCCAGATGGTGATTTTCATGTGCAGCAGGGAAAAACTGACAAGCAAAGTAGAGGGGGGCTAAATAAAAGTCAGAAGCCCTGTAGACGGTATCTGTAACCTGGGGTGAAGGAGAATACGCTTTACTAACTCGACTTGAAGCGATTCACTTTAGGTGACATTGGAAGAAATAAGAATACATTTTGGTGTAAATAGGTTAATGAGGCATATAAAGTGTGGTTGGGAGAAAGCCACAAGACCAGAAAGTAGCACAAAGATTAGGAGCGAGGAGTGATGCCACAACGGTTGGACAAATAATTTGTCAAGGCGGTTGCCTTCACTTGTAATTTTGCTAGGTTGTAACTCTGCTAACCATGATGCCTCTCATTTAAGCTATCAGTTAC